TCTGAAGAGAGAGGTTTCTCAAGACATATGTTGTCCCCGTTAAAACTGGATAATCTTGATCTGTGCTCTGAAGGTCACCAGCACAGATCTCAAAGTTATTCAGGAAAAAAGTGGGTGTAATGGTATCATGAACCTCAAAACCCCCAGTTCATGCTGCACTTCAAGCTCTGCTGCAGGAGTTTGGTTTTGCACTTTTTGTTCCAAACACAGGACACGATGCAACCAGAGAAGAATCCTTCTGCATCTGAGAATTTTGCAGCCTGTGGTGAGGGTCTGAAAGGAGCTGGTGTTTTCATAGATCTTAACAATTCCTACCTTTAACACGTCGCTAGTGAGCTGCTCCCTCTGCACCTGGTGGCTCTGTGTGGTAGCCAGTGTCCTACGGCATGAATTCTTCTCTGTGAAGAGGGTGAGGGTTATTATCTGATGAGTCAATGACTACTATTAAACTTTAATTAGACCACCAAGATACTCAGTTTAGGCACCTGCAACCCTTTGTGCTGATATTGCTGTGACCCTGCCCTCCTCTTCCTTACGGCATGTCAACTTCTCTTCGCCTCATGTCAGCATTTAGATTGGAAGCTCTTTGTGCAGGAACTGTGTGTTGTGTTTTGGAAAAAACCCAGAGTGTGGACAGAGTGAAAATAACCCATAATATAATAGCACCCAGTACATGGAAGGTGTTTTACGGGGGTAGAGTAAGACAAGTCTATGCCTGGGGGCACATGCAGTCTGAATGGACAACATACAGACAAAATATAGATCCAGGAGTAGAGGAAGAAGCAAACAGGCAACGGGGATGGTACAATATGCATCACATTAGCACCATGGTTTCTTGAAACACAAAAATTTTTACTTGTTTATAGCGAATTAAAGGCACATTTCTGGGATTATAGAAAGAGGTGGTTCTGAGGAGGGATTTGAAGGATGACGTGGAGATTGTCTGGTGGTTGAGGTGGGGAGCAGAATCAGGGAACAAAGGGAGTGAGAGGGACGATGGAATTGTTGGAGTCTAGATTGTGAACAGGAGAATGGACAAAAGTGCATGAATGCAGCACTATCATGCTTGGCTCTCGATCCTGCTGTGCTCAGAGCACAGGAGTCTGGATCCAGCGCTAGCATGCTGGGTTCTGGATCCTGCTGCGGTCAGTTGGTGGGAGCAAGACCCTCCTCTTTAGTGTATCAACATTGTTTAAGATGAAAGTGAATATTAAACTGTCATTTGATGACATTGCATCATGCAGAATCCTGGGGCGAAATCTTTCCCCACTGAATGGGAGTTTTGTCTTTCCATGGGACTTCTGTGAAGCAGGATTTCAACCCTGGTCTGTAGTGACAGCTTTCTTAGCTGTATTGGGTTGCAGGTTGAAAGAGAGAGGGAGAAGAAAGCAGAGGGAAAGAGTTTGGAAGGGTGTCTGGGGGTCCTTTGCCAGACATTAAAGAACATACAGCTGGCATGTTCTCATTAATATTTAAGAATCAAGTCTGCCCGGGAGGAGAAACTAGAGCAGACTCAAGCTGTTTGGGACTAGTGAGGAAAGAGACACAGTGGAGAGACACACTTGCATTCCCAAAGACTCCAGGAAGAGTACAAAGCAGCCTCTTGACAGCTGTGCAGGAAGATTACTGGTTTCCAATGGGAGGGTTGTTGTCCTGTTTTTGTGTGTGTGCTGCCATCCTGTGGAATGAAGTGTAAAAGAGGAAAGTCTGATTGGACCCTGGAAATGTTCAAACTATTGCTAATGCATGTGGAAAAAGGTAATCCAAAATAACATGTCCTCAATGGGCAGGAGAAGCCCACAGAGCCGCAGCAGCAAGGTGAGACTGAGTGGGGAGAGTATGTTTGCAGTGTGATGAGGCAGAAAAATGGCCAATGCAGTTTTGGGTTCCTGAGGAATCATACCACATCTGCACACCCTTTGCCTGTGTCCACACTAACTATTTTTTCTCCCAAATTTCCCACTCTTGCTAACACCAGTTCAGCTCCATGGGCGCAAGCACCACTAGGAGTACTAGTGTATGTGACAGGGTGCCGACCACCACCGTTTTTACCACCAGGTCATTTAGAATTGCCTTGGGAAGGATTAGTGACATGGTGATAAGAAAACTGGTGATGGCTGGCACCTTTTCTATGCTAGTGCTCCTCCTATGGGGCATTCCCAGTGTGGGCAGCAATGGGAAACTTTAGAGGCAAATTTGTGAATACAAGAGGTAGATGGTTCTAGTGCAGGGGTAGGCAACCTCTGTCACTTGTGCCAAAGGCGGCACACGAGCTGATTTTCAGTGGCGCTCACACTGCCTGGGTCCTGGACATCGGTCCGGGGGGCTCTGCATTTTAATTTAATTTTAAATGAAGCTTCTTAAACACCTTAAACCTTTTTTAAACACCTTTTTAAAAACCTTATTTACTTTATATACAACAATAGTTTAGTTATATATTATAGACTTATAGAAAGCGACCTTCTAAAAACGTTAAAATGTATTACTGGCACGCAAAACCTTTAATTAGAGTGAGTAAATGAAGACTTGGCACACCACCTCTGAAAGGTTGCCGACCCCTGTTCTAGTGCAAGGTACTGAAATATATTGAAATTGGAGGGTGTGGGCCTGGGGTGATCAGAGTTAAATCAGTACAGTTTGGGTAAGTTGTGGGTGGGAAGGATATTATAACAGTGTGGAAATATCTGAAGATGTTTGGGAAGAGGCTTGGGAGGGTTTATTTCTCTTTTGCTGTTGGGGTGTGAGGAGATGTTTGGGGAATGGTTCACCAATTGGGGAGCAGGTGAGGTTTGAGGGGTGTTTCGCCATTGTTAGGAGGCAGGGAGGTTTGGGGCATACAGAAATTGATGCCATGTCCTCCTCTCCAGCAGCGCTCACTCTATCATACTGTTTGTACTGAGGAACATGATATCCTGGTAACCTTTGCCAGCACCGTCCAGCCCTATTGACCTGGATCCTCTTTGCTTTCTGAGCTGCTTCTCATGTCATGGCCTCGTGAGCCAGCTGCTGTGTTCCTCAGCTCAGTTTGGTGCTCATTTCAGCTGCTGTCATAGGCTGCTTTTCCTTGGCTGATGATCAGAGAATGTCACAATGGGGGGCCTCTTGTGAAGCAGGGAAGCTGGGGCGGGACCTGGACTTGGAGGGAAAGGTGATCAGGCTTCAGGTTCAGCACTTTCTAATAAACCAGGAATTCCTCTCCCCTGCCTTTGTCTGTGGCCTGCTCTGTTGCTCTGCCAGGGGCATTCAGAGTATCAGAATGTGCTGCAACTGCAACGCTGATTTCTTCAAGCTTCAGGTTTTGGTGTCTCGTAAAATTGAATCCTCTATATGTCTTCACCTCCCTGCCTCCTAACAATGTCCCAGGTTCAGAGCTGCAGCACTTGCTTGTGGTGGCTGTTGGGAAGGAGAGCAACAATGGATGTATGTTATGTTCCCAGGGTCTCATTTTCCTGGACACTTATTTCTCATGCTGAACTGGGACTGGTTCTCAGCTGGTTTTAGGGGCTTGCTGTAGGTGCCAGCATAGCATTAGAAAAATATTTTGATATCCTTTGGCCCTGTCTGCACTGACTAGCTAAATCACATACGATCCTGGTTTAAACTGAGTTCAAAAGCCCCGTGCAGATTCACTTCAAACTGGATCACTTTGAAGCTTTATTGCATTGGTGACTGTATCCAGCTGACTTCCCTCCACCATCTTCCCAGCAAGGAGGGTGCTGCTGGATGCTGATTGCTGGTGGAGCCATGAGGGCTCTTTTGGTCTTTGCTTGCAGAGTTCTGGGGTGGTTTCCTTGAACATTGTAGACAGGGTTTTTTTCTGAGACTCATACTAGCCAGATCATTATTAATATTATTTCTTTTGTGATAGGCACTGCCCCAAAGACCTTTCACACTTCCATGAAAGCTGGCTATTGCAGGGTTTGATAACACACGTCTCAGAGGAAGAAATTCCTGTGACACAAATCTGGGAAGCTGAACTAAAGCCCCTTGGGGAATGAGCATATTCAAGCTCCGTTGTGCTCATGTAGGTCTGCTGTCTATCTGCTTGGGGCTGTCTCCTCAAATCAGCAACTTCTGGAACCTACGCATTTGTGTGGAATTTGCTTAAATAAATATATTTGCTAAAAATTATAATTGAAAAAAAATCCACAATCTTAAAAGGAGGACCTGTGTGCAGCTGAGAAAAGACAACCCCCTTGAGAACAGGTCTAATTGCTGGCCCCATTTGGGAGGCCCACGGCTGAAAGTGACATCAATAATAAAAGCACAGTTATAAAGTGGAGAGTAAAAGCGACAGTGACTCCAGTTATAAAATCTCACAATAAGAGTCAATGTTCAAGGAGCCTGATCTCATCTCATTTAAGTGCTTTAAGTTCAAGAGGCAGATAGATGGATTACACCACTTTAAAATGTTGACAGGGGACAACATAGTGTAAACAAGAGATACAAATAAAGCCATCCACCATACATTTTACATGCATCAGCTTGACTTTACTGCCTAACAGGAAGCTGGCATGTCACCTTAGGTTTCAAGCAGTGTGTGGTCTTGCTGGAGAAGTTGTTGCTAAAAATCACGTAACTGCTGAGACTTCAGTTGATAGTGTGTCTGTGTCACAGTTTTATATGCTGTAAATGTTTCGATTTATGGTGTATATGAATAGAAGATATCTAGTGGGAGGGTAAAGGTGTGTCTTGGGGACTTGGGTGGAGGGCAGGGGGAGATAGTTATTTTCCCCAATGGCTCTGGCTTCCATGATACGCTTCAGCTGTCCCCAATCTCTGGGGCAGGAAATGTGTCCCTGGTAGCTCATCTGCAGTATGCCCTCTGGCTGGTTTAAGGTGCTGGGAGTGAATATGTGCCACACTGGCTCTGGTGGATGTTGTTTCCAGTATACCTTGGGTCTCCAGGAAGGGTGTGTTTCCCCCCAGTGGCTTTTTTCTTCAGTAACAGGGTGTTAACATTGTGTGTTGTGTATTTTCCTGGGATGTCATGGCTGCAGGCAAATCTGAAGAAGTTCATGGAGTACGTGCAAATGCTAAATGTGGAGAAGGTCTGCAGACTGCTGGAGAAGGGACTGGACCCCAACTTCCATGATCCGGACACTGGAGGTGAGACTAGCTTCCCCAGAGATGGGGGATGGCAGAATGGGGGCAGCTGCTTGCTTTGGGATACAGTGGGATTTTTGGGGAGTAGTAGTTTGCTTGAGAGGGTAGCAAGTGGCATTAGGGGAAAGGTGGGAGTTGGGTTTTGAGTGACAGGGGCCTTTAGCAAAGAGTCGCACTCATGTGTTTTTATTATGTTTCTCTCAGGGGGGGTTGGAGCCTGGGTTTCTTAAGCTGGAAAGGACTGTCTTTGGGAGATACAGAGGCCTGGAATTGTCAGGCTAGATGAAAACATAGGACAGGCAAGGGTTCTCTAGATGAGGCAGTCATGGGGATCAGAAGTATTCTCAGGATAGATTAGACGGATCCTGGCTTCTGAGTCCTTCAGGAATTGCCCATCTATGTGAGAAGCACATACATCCCCCACAGTGCGTTGAACTCTCCACAAAAGCCATGACTGTGGGGCTGGGTGGATGTCCCTGGCAGATCCAGATGTTTGATATTGAAGGTGTGAACGGAGCTGCTGCACTGGTCCCAACTATTACTTTTCTCACTGCTTCTGTAGTGAGTATGGAGCTCTCACTCTTTCCTCACCTTTGTTGTGTCCTTCAGTGCAGGTCTGGGATAGGATTAGTCATGCTCTGATTTCTGTATTAAAATAACAGTGTGACGTTTGTTCCTTTTAGTACAGAGTAGGCTCCATGCTGCTGCATGGCTTAGGCAGATTTCCAACCAATGAGTGTGTCAAGCTGTTCTCCAGAGAGACAGGAGTGTGAGCACCAACCCCAGGGCTGCCTGTGAGGAAACAGGGTACAACCCCCAAACAGGCTGTGAGTGCTGTACTTCGATTTCACTAAGCAATTATCAAGGGTAAACTCCTCCTCCTTAATGTGGAGTTACAGGCAGTCCCCTCGGGTACTGTGATCTGTCTCACCACCCAGGTGAGCCTACCTTTGTGAGAAATGTCCCTTACATGAACCATCACAGCAAAATTCAGGTATCAGAGGGGTAGCCATGTTAGTCTGAATCTGTAAAAAGTAACAGAGGGTCCTGTGGCACCTTTAAGACTAGGTGCCACAGGACCCTCTGTTACTTTTAGCAAAATTCAGGTTACTCCCAGTGCCAAAGGAGCAGTCACTTACCCCAGGTCAGTTGCACCTTAGATCTCACACCAAAAACAATGCATGTAGCCAATCCTGTAATAAAGGGTATGTCTACACTACGGGATTAATCCGAATTTATATAATTCGAATTTTGGAAACAGATTGTATAAAGTCGAATGTATGCGGCCACACTAAGCACATTAATTCGGCGGTGTGCGTCCATGTACCGGGGCCAGCGTTGATTTCCGGAGCGTTGCACTGTGGGTAGCTATCCCATAGCTATCCCATAGTTCCTGCAGTCTCCCCCGCCCATTGGAATTCTGGGTTGAGATCCCAGTGCCTGATGGGGCAAAAAACATTGTCGCAGGTGGTTCTGGGTACAGCCTCACCCCTCCCTCCATGAAAGCAACGGCAGACAACCATTTTGCGCCTTTTTTCCTGGGTGAACACTGCAGACTCCATACCACGGCAAGCATGGAGCCCGCTCAGCTCAAGACAGCAGTCATGAACATTGTAAACACCTCGCGCGTTCTCGTGCAGTTTATGCTGAGCCAGGACCAGAAAAATGAGGCGAGGAGGCGATGGCAGCGCAGCGACAAGCGTGATGAGGACATGGACATGGACACAGAATTCTCTCAAACCGCGGGCCCCGGTGCTTTGGGGATCATGTTGTTAATGGGACAGGTTCTATCCGTGGAATGCCGATTCTGGGCCCGGGAAACCAGCACAGACTGGTGGGACCGCATAGTGTTGCAGGTGTGGGATGATTCCCAGTGGCTACGAAACTTTCGCATACGTAAGGGCACTTTCATGGAACTTTGTGACTTGCTGTCCCCTGCCCTGAAACGCCAGAATACCAAGATGAGAGCAGCCCTCACAGTTGAGAAGCGAGTGGCGATAGCCCTGTGGAAGCTTGCAACGCCAGACAGCTATCGGTCAGTCGGGAATCAATTTGGAGTGGGCAAATCTACTGTGGGGGCTGCTGTGATGCAAGTAGCCAAAGCAATCACTGAGGTGCTGCTATGAAAGGTAGTGACTCTGGGAAATGTGCAGGTCATAGTGGATGGCTTTGCTGCAATGGGATTCCCTAACTGTGGTGGGGCGATAGATGGAACCCATATCCCTATCTTGGCACCGGAGCACCAGGGTACCCAGTATATAAACCACAAGGGGTACTTTTCAATGGTGCTGCAAGCACTTGTGGATCACAAGGGACATTTCACCAACATCAACGTGGGCTGGCCGGGAAGGGTTCATGATGCTCGCGTCTTCAGGAACACTACTCTGTTTAAAC